CATGCACAATAGGTATGTTTAGAGCATTGTCATAAATTATGCTATTATACATTATGTACTTAATACAATCTGTGTCAAATTTATATTGGGATGTACAGTGGACGTGACAGCTTTCTCACTAAATTAAATCATGCTATTTTGGTTATTTGTTCATCACGTTCATACCTGATTTTTGCTTATTTCTGCTGAATGCTACAAATTCATGGGCGCAGCCAGGCATGAAGTAAGCGAGGCAACTTTCTCACCGTTTTTTGCAGCAATATATTTTCAGAAAAATAATTTTCATGCGTTTTTTCAACTAAAACCATGGACAATGAGTCCAACTGTAGTAATTTGCCTCATTTAGTCTTACTTTACATTGTGCATTATTTTCTACCTTGCCTAATTTAGGACCCTGACTACGCCCCTCGTAAATGTAGATTTACAATGTAAAAGGGTTATGTATTGGGAGGTTTTGGATATAGTGTATGTCACGAGGGATATATAGAGGATATCCTATGATTTATGAGTGATATGATTTTTATCCACGAATGGATATGATATCTGCACGAGCGAACGTAGCGAGAGAGTGCAGATATCAATAACCATGAGTGGATTAAAATCATATCACGAGTAAATCATAGGATGTTCTTTTTATTCAATAGTTAAAGTCATCATCAGAATCGTCGGAAATTAAGTCATTTAATTCGAATTTTCCAAACGATCCGGCGATGTTGACACTTAGCCTCGTTTTGAGTCTGAAGTAGCAAAAATCCATAAACCATCGCATACGACGTCGTATGTCATGGCTAAAAAATCGTATGCTATGGTTAAGTGAAAATTTGTCAAAAATATCATATTTTACCACTGATTACAAAAATACCGTTTTTATTTTCACATGTTATCCTATGAATATCATGCTAACTATGGAATAAATTTATTTATCCCATACTTAGACGTGTTACGGGTACATAAAGCCGGTTTGTAAAAACTTATATTTTCATCAGCGGGCAGATATAGCTTTACGTCCCGCTCTGAGCGGGCAGATATAGTATATCTGCCCGCTACGTCATAATCGCTGTTCCCGTATTGGTTCTTTTTTGTACCGTTCGCATACTGTAAACGACAATGGAGAAAAACGCAGACAATCGCGATCTGTTTGATACTTTAAAGAAGGGAAGGAGCAGTATGCCCCGTTAATAATCAAAGATTTGAACAGGAAAATCCGGCTACGGACAAGAATACAAAACTGGACATGAATATTTTAAAATAATTCCACGGTTGGTTGCAAAGTTTCTGAACTTTGGCCAATTGGACAATGTGATTGGTATGGGATAAACAGATCATCCTATAGTCGGTTCAGGATATTGGGATTATCCCTTGGCCAATATAATATATATACCCTCGGGATCTACGGCCCTCGGGCAGATATATTATATTGGCCTCGGGATAATCCCAATATCCTGAACCTCATATAGGATAATCTCTATATCTCCCCTAGGGGCCATAGGGACCAATGGGAGATATGAATACTTCCTGATATAAATAGTCCCCGCTCCTCAGATATGATATATATTCCAGGGTGATATCTACCCCAAATCCAATCAAGTATGAGATACATACATATATGTTTATGATAGGCAGATACCTATTTTCGCTGAATATGTAAGTCTCAAACTGTTTGCACTTAAGCACACGCTTATGAAACATACAAATTGCATTTTCGAGTGTAATAAAGGGAAAATTCATTTACTATAATCGCTATAGCAACTTATCACGGAACCACTTTAAGGATTCAGATAACAGACGTTTCAGCATGATCCAATCTTGGATCTCTTCCTATTACTGAGATGTACATAACTATTGTGCCTTTGATAGATACTTACGAGGGTAATTTTCCGCAACCCTTTAGGATAAAGGGGTTACTTATCTCGTAACTAATGTCTCGTCTCCCTCTGTAAAAGAAAGTCAAGTTTTAGAATTCCTTTAATCCTACTTCAGTATATAAATCAAACACCTAGTACATAGTCAAGAAAAAAATTCTTAGATATTTGAGGAGTGTTATAATTGTTTTTATCTATATCAAGTAGGGTTATCCCGTTTCCAAAGACATGGTGGGCTTAAACTCTATCAATCAAATATGCTGTTCAGAGAGGAAGCTATTTATGATCCAAGTTCGATTAATTAAAACATATCAAGAACTAGAAATTTAAAAACCCAAACTACCGTGCGCAATATATACTATACTGAATGTGAACAAGCAACTCGATGGAACGAGTGTTAAACTTTAGTATCATCCTAAGTATAAAAACATTTTAGTATATTTGCAAATTCATAATATGATGTCTTTAAAGTTCCTTACGTCACCATTTCACGTTTTGCATCAGGTTGATATCTGCAGTGATTATCAGGTCCAATTTGAAGGTACCAATTTGAAAAGGTCACGTCAATCTTAACTGAAACCATGTTTTGCTTGACAGTAATAAACTAATCATCTGATACTGTACAAACTAGACAATTACAAAACGTGTTTAATGATTCAAATAGAGAGATTCAGGATTCAATCACATGGCTGGTGAACATGCTTACATAAATTCCGCTGCAAATGCAATGTGTCGTTGTGCCCCAAAGCCAGTGATACCTATAAAATGCAAGGAGGATTGGCTCCCAGGATCGAAACTCGATATTTTCCAACAATGAAAACGTCGAAATGTCGTTATTTTCTGAAATTAAAACCGACTATAAATTCAAAATAAACAGTTCAAAAGATTCGAACCAATATCTCGATCATTTCTTGTGAGTTTTGGAATTTTTCGTTTGGAAATAAGACCAAAATTCACGATTTAAATGTTGAAGTGAACAAAATGGCGGCTGTTTGAATTCGAATTTTGTATTACGACATACCCATATATGGGACAGAATATCGGTGGTGCACTCTGGGAGCCAATCCTCCTTGTATAAAATGTAAAATTAAACAGGAACAAATGACGTCATTATATCCATGGTAACACCATTTAATTAGTAACTTTACAAAATGTCTACGTCATCATGAATCGCCATGCATCGCTGGCATAAATTTAACAAAGCTCGAATTGCGCCCTGTGATGAAAAAACAGGTTGATTACTTAACGATTATTTTGTTTTATTAATTTTTATATTTTGCGGTCGCTCATTGACGTTCTCATTTTAGTTCCAAATATAATGTTTGTCTTTTATTAGAATATAACTGTCTTTGAAATGGAAGTCTTCCATCAACCAAGCCAGTCCGAGCTCTAAGAGTTAAATAATATTTTTTTTCTTTAAACATTCGCCGTCATGCAGTGGTACATCCGTTTTGCAACGACACGGTTGCTCTCGGTCTAGTCCGGGTCTAATCCTCTCTACGTCAAGATGGCTTCGCTTGTTGCATTTAGAAATATGCAGGTTGTTTGCCAGAATGATTCTAAACTCGTACAAACGACCGCGATGTCTCTTGAAATAAATTTTAGTTAGGCCGCTTAATGTCAATGTGACATTTCCGTATCCATTCCTGTGCGTGTACAGATATTAAAGCTACATGATCTATTTGTTAACGAAGACAGCAATCTAATTATAATGTATAAACTTATGTCGGCTCATGACCAAGAGTTATAAATGCCATAATCGCTATACGAATTGATTTAAATCTTAAGGCTTTATCTTTGACTTGAATTCTGTGCATCTTTTGATAAACACATGATATCGTGTCAATGAAAAAAGTTTACTCACTTAATGAGAATCGAAAATATAACCTTGGCCACCGATTGGCCACTAATCCTATATCATATTCAGTACAATTATTGATTCAATAAAGATCAAAACGAGCCAACAACAATTACAAGTCCTCTAACTCTCTAATAATACAGTATTTCATGTTCAATTTAGTACGTGATTACTTTACGATATCATATGGTTATTTCATGAGCAAATTGATATCGATATCACCATGATTCAATCTACTTCCTATGTTCAGTATAATTAAAATCGTGATTCAAGGATACATGTTACATGTTGTATGTATATTATACCAATGCTGATAGTTCAGTACCACTGACATAACAACAACATGACAAAACAACATAGTGAGGATAAATGTATATAATTTATACCAATGCTGGTAGTTCACTACCATCGATATAATCGTAACATGATAGCAACAGTGGTATGGATATCATTCATACCAATACTGGTAGTTCATTACCATTGTTATAATCGTAAGGTGATAGCAACATCGGTATGGATATTATTCATACCAATACTGGTAGTTCATTACCAATGACATAATCGTAAGGTGATAGCAACATCGGTATGGATATTATTCATACCAATACTGGTATATGTAGTTCATTACCATTGTCATAATCGTAAGGTGATAGCAACATCGGTATGGATATCATTCATACCATACCATAATATCTACAATAGCATCAGAACCGTCCTGTCATATTTTAAAGTTCTTGGTTAGCCCGCGATAAGTTCTCGGCGAGTTTGTTTTCGTGAGCGTCGTCCTTTTTGTCCTTCATTTAGATTGTAAATAAATGCGCGATCGGATATTCTTTGTTTTGTTAATGGATTCCCATTCATCAAACGTCAGCCAGTGATGGACATTAGCAATTCTGTTCAATGGACATATAAGTTATTATGCCTAAATTATTTCCCAGAAGACTGTCATGAAAAATAATATGTTGTTTAAGCACCTTACATACGTATTCTATATTATCAATTCCACATTTTTCAGGATGATGATTGTTGTCAATTTTAGATTAAAGAAAAAATATATGGAACTAACTAGAGTTTAGTTGGTATGGTATCGATTTACCTACATCGCTAATTGTAAATTAAACCGAATGCCATTACGTAATTAAAGCAAATGGATCCAGTATTTAAATAGTAATACAAATACAATAAATACATGGTAGAATACAATTAAATAACATCGTAGGCGACAATGAATGGACATAAAACTATTTTCTTATCTTATGTTGTACTCACTGTACTTTCAGATTATCCGATATCTTCACATATTATGGAGAGTTTGATAGACTAAGTATCATAACCAACTGGTAATATATGGACTCACACGATGCTATTGAAAACATTTAGAATGATAAATCAATGGTAACGCGAGAATACTTGATGAACTACGTGGCTATTTGACTTAGTGATTGCCTAATTGATTCATATATTAGCTCCTGACAAGACGGTCGACAAGACAATACAGTGCCCTTACAAGATGGAGTCGTTTACGATGTACCTGAATGCTTCGACAACGATGGTTCCAATGATCGAAACGACGAGTGCAGAGAATTGTTCGACAAATATAACAGTGAACGCTACATTATGTCGACAGGTGCCACAACCGCTGCAGCCATTGACGCTCTCAACTGTAATATTGTCTGTACTGTATGTCATAATTTGCCTTGTTGGGATAATCGGCAATGGTTTAGTTATTTACGTAATACTGATGTTCGTTAAAATGAAGACGGTGACCAACATGTACATTTTGAATCTCGCTCTTGCGGATTTAGCTTTTCTAGTAGGACTACCGTTTTTAACCGTCACGACCATAGCACGACATTGGGTATTCGGAAATCACATGTGCAAGATATTCTTCGTGCTGCATTCGATCAACTGGTTCACAAGTGTCTTTACCTTGACGGTGATGAGCTGTGACCGTTGGCTAGCCGTATGTTTCCCGTATAAGGCTATGCATTACAGGACTCCAATCAATTCGAGAGTGATATGTCTTGCCATCTGGCTCGTTGCCTTTTTAGTGATGCTGCCTATTATGCTCTATTCAGGAACATCCGATCCCACCAATTCTGGATACAAAACGTGCACGATAACATGGCCCCAAGGACAGCCTATACCAGCTGACCAGGCGTTTGTCTGGTATACCTTTCTACTGGGATTTCTTCTCCCCGTTGCGCTCACGAGCGTTTTCTATTCATTAGTTGTGATCAGACTCAGATACGCAGGCCCAAATAGACTGAGTGAGAACAAGAAACGTTCAACGAGAAAGGTCACGAGAATGGTTTTGATAGTTATAGCTGTATACATAATTTGTTGGTTACCATTTTGGTGTTTCCAAGTAAATCTAATATTTAGAGCGGCGTTTAATAGTCGTCTGAAAGCGTGGGAGATAACCCTTTTCCAAGTGTTTACTGTGTTGAGTTATTGTAACAGTATGTTAAACCCGTGTCTCTATGCCTTCCTGTCAGATAACTTTAGAAAGGCATTCATTAAAGCATTCAAATGTGCGAATAACCTTGAGGTCAATCGCGAATTGGCAAACGAGAATAGCACCTTTCCAAAGGCCGGCGGTGCAGTTATAGGATTACGAGCACCCCTCAACAACGTCTCGGAGGATACGTGTGAAACATCCATGAACACGTTGGTAAATACTTCTATTATTCAGCATACCAAGACGACAAATACTGATGATATAGATCCTGAACAAAAAACGCTTATCGCAGAGGTTAACGGGAAAGATAGGTGCGGGACTCCACTATAATGTCCACAAGTGTGCTAATCTTTCTAATATCTGAAATAACTAACGAGATCATTAAATCAATACGAGACAGTTTGACCATTGAACTTGAAGGTAATAGCCGAGTTAATTATCCGTGGTGAAACTAAACTAATCACCGACTCTTGTAATAATGGCGCTAGCATAACAGTGCGTAACTTGTTATGCAGAACCAAGACCACCTTAGATTCAACATATTTGATTGATGGCAAGAGGGGCTCTAAAGCTTTCAGGATCATTGGTTAAAGTCAAGTTGATGACTACAAATCAATATAAGAATATAAATTGTGATATTCTTCTTAATTACTTCGATAACCTTACGGAATAAAGACAATGTGTTGTTTCCATTTGGGAAAATGTCTAGCACTTTTGCAATAGAGAATGATATTACTTGGCCATACTGTTTACGATTGCGATTATAATTGCGATTTGAATCAATCGTTTCGTTTCAATAATTGAAGCCAATGATATATAAATTTCTCATTTGTCATGTGGATTACTCGTAATGCATCACACGTGTAACCAAGTTCCGTTTTGATTAATCATATGCCATTTGGGAACGACTGACACAAAGATAAATTCGATACCAATGTCCGACGTTATGAGATACCAAGTGCTATTTAATAGATTAAGAATCCTGGAGATTTATTCGTAATTGAATCGAATACATCAACAATATTGATGATACATTTTATTCACAAACGGATGCGCATGTCTAAACAATATGCATGCAAATATTGTAGGTGTAAATAGCATGCTATTATAAATGACTATATCAGAGTATACATTGTATATTATGTTTTCAATTTTAAGAATTCTATGTTGTTACATAATCAAGGCTGACACTACACGGTGCCACGTTTATATTGAAATAATGTTATGTACACTTGAGTATATCAAATACGAGAAATATATAGTCTGTAGTGTACATAAAGAATATGTAAATAATGCACAACCTCACCATATATTCCTTAATGACCATTAGTTTGGTAGAACTAGGAAGATTGAAGATCGAGGGTAATAATGTTAAAAAGGAAATATGACATACGAATGTAAGCTCCGTTATTAGGTGTAATGCTCTGGATTAGACGTTTGAACTTTAGGAGGTGGGGATCCTAAAATCCAATCATCTTTTTCAGTAATTCCAGTATTTCACAACGTGTGTTTTTTAATTTCAATATAGCTGATAGTTGTGTCTGAAAAATTATAGAATGGTGATTTTCATTATTTGTACTTTGAATTGATTCTGTTTTGATTTTTTGCTCTTTGTATTATTCGATAAAATTCAATTAGATAATAGATTACAATATAATTTGTATTCGCCAGCAAAATGATTTCTCAACAATTAAACTACGAGTGCTACAAATGCTGAACAAATCATTCTGAACTTCTTATCTTATTGACGAAAATATATCGAATTGTTCAGGTATTATAAATGTACTCTAGCAAGTGTTTGTTATATAATACTCTTTTATTTACAATTAAAGTTCTGTAGCCAAGTAGCCTATACCGTAGACACATTTCCTTTCAGCATTAAAACGGACTAACGTGTATAAATAAGATTATATCGAGTCTTAAAGTTAGGCTATAGATACCTATGTGGCCACTTCACAAGACAAATTGAAAGTATCATCGTTGCGGGAGAGTAAGCATGATGAATAGACCAGAGCTATTCCTGAAACTCAAATCCAATAAATCGGCAGAAGTAGTGCGATAGGCTCTCCTCAAACACTCTTAACTGTAAACTGAAATATTTATAAGTTACATCTGTCTCATGAGATTTCCATCTTACGAATCTGTGAAATATTTATATGTAAATAAAATACAACTGAGTGTAATTAAATGTTTGTTATTGTTCGAAAATTTGACTTGACTTGTATTGCCAAGTGTTGGCATCTTAAACATACATTTTACATAATCGTGGTTATTGAAAGGCAGAATCATATCTATAGGGGTCGACATTTACAATTGTGCGAACAATCAATTCCTTTTGATCTCAAAAACAATATAATTCTGCAATATGCAAAGTGCAGAAGAATATATAGAAAGTATAGGAGAAAAGTGTTTATTCCTCCAAATGATAAGAACGATAAACATGAAAATAGAAAAAATAGTACATTTTTATAAAACTCTATAGTTTCCCTGGAATAAATTATACACTTTTGGGATTTTTGAAATTAGGCATGATATGAGACAAAACTTGTACAGGGTGACCCAAAAATGCAACCCTCATTTCTTCAATATTTTTCTTAAATGAAGATTGATTGCTTTGAAATTTGGCTCACAAAGCTTTCATACAATGTGTGATCCTCTGGCAAAGTTTTAATAATCATAGATCTATATCGATAGAGTTATGGTCGTTCAAAAATATGCTCCAAATGTCGTCCATTTCTAATGTTAGGTTTTCGAATGAATCACATTTCCTTCTTTCTGAACATGTAAACTCAAGAAATAATGTGCTCTGGGATCACAAATTCCAGATGAAGTGCTTCAAAGGCCCCTTCATTCTGTTAAATCCACAGCTTGGGTTGCAATTTCCAAACATGAAATCATCAGCCCCTTTTGGTTTGAGGGTGATAATGGCAACACTTTTACTGTTAACACACAACGGAATATTGGCGTTCCCGGGGAAGTTTTGGGCAGTTCTTCTAGAGAGACATAGAGGCTTTCTTAAACAAGAACACTGGTTCTAGAAGGATGGAGCTACTCCTCACACTTCTAATGATAGCCTGGCTCACTAGTCATTTCTATGAGAAGATTATCTCTTCGGACGGAGAACCCATGTTCATCCCACAGTCCTGATCTCAATGCCCCTGACTTGTATTTATGGAGTTATTAAAATGATAATGCATATGAAATTAAACCTACCATAATTGCAGAACTCCAACATGCAATGGCTGAACAAATTTTACCCATACCCACGGGGAAGAATGCGTCCGCATTATGAACAGTTTTGCTTGAACATTGCAAGTTTGTTTTCAGCGAAATTGACGACACCTGGAGCATATTTTGAAACAACCATAACTCTATCAATATAGGAACCCACATTGAACGAAGTCTTTGTGTGCCAAATTAACTCCCATTTAAGAAAAATATTGAAGAAATGGAGGGTTGCATTTTTTGGGGTCACCCTGTATACGATTGAAACAATTGATTCATTTAGTTTGCTCGCTAGATCTGATTCTCTCTATAATAAAACACACTTACCTTGTATGCTATTATCACGTTGCTAAAGCATGACGGTAACGTCACCTCTGAAAACGAAGTTGGACTGCTACTGCTACGTTCACTTTATCCAATAAAATGGCCACGATGGAACATACATCTAAGATTGGTGCATTATTTTCTACTACACTGTGAGTCAAAGAAAGGGTGAACGACTTATGTAAGCAAAGCATTCGGTGATGCATTCAGTAATGTATATTTTGAACGTAGTTTTCGCAAATTGCTGCCCGAGGATAACATGAAATAAGCGAAAAACTGTCGAGTTTGTAATTCCAAAAACACAAAATTAAGTTATTTGTTTACCTACATATGATCATGCAAAGCCAAATGAGCATTGAAAACTAGCTACCTAAAATGTTCTATAAATAATGTATTTTGAATTTGCGGTAACGCAAAAAATTGAACCGCGAACGCGAACCTCGTTCAAATAATGTCTCATTGTTATTAATTTTGTCATGTTCATCAGGACTTGATATTAACTCTTCTTTTGCCTCTCCATTGCTATCTTTTTAACTTTGATTGGTTTCATCAATAAAGCAAGCCACTTTAGTTTTTTTCCTTGCCCTATAGATGTTCAAACAAGAGCCTCTCTTGGAGTCCTGAAAACAAATATAAGCAATTCAATATTCCATTTCTCACCCATTATAACAATAACATGGAAAGAGGCTATCAGATCTAGCATCCTTGACTTGACAGGTGAACACGCACGTAACCGTCCGCTAAATACCTAATGTACAACTTATAAAATACGTTACCGTCCATAAAAATAATACATTGCGATTGAAGGATAGCTCACCCGGTAGGTTTACAGCTTATATTCTGCTTCTTGTAGACCACCTAGCAGATTTGACCCAGTCTTTATAACCATCCATATATACGTCACCGAATGGAACTAGTTTAAAAGGAAATCTTATATTACCTGTGAATCTTGCCTCCAGGCGAGGAAGAGGATATGCTGTCTTCCCCATCCGCCATTTTTGTTATTGTTACCTCAAAATTTTGCAAATCGCCTTGACGTAGCCGCCATGGTATAACGGAGTCATTATACAAGAAAATGAATATAGCTCAAAATAATGAATTCAACGGTGTCACAATACTACTTTTATGCAGAAAACAAAGTGTAATTTAGTATATGGATTACCAAGACATTGAGACCATTGTGACACTGGCATTTTAACCCATTTTGAAAACGTCCAACAGACCCTCTCATTTATTGATACACGAAAGAAATAGGAACTTTTGTTTAGTTTGATGATATCATGGTTATAGGCAGCACCTTTTCCAAAATAAGGATGCCATATTACTAGTTTTCAAAAAATGATTTAACTTTAGCTATCTATCGCTTATCTCACCTATTTATCCTCCAATGGGGAAGGAAACGATTGTGGTATTTTTGTCGAGTCAAACAGAAATGCATTACAAAACAAACATTACATTCAATAAAATTAAGAACACGGGATAGTCAGCCATTTTTCAACATTCAGTTTCGAAACGAGTATTTTATGCATCTTTTTGCGTAGAGCAGTCGTTATAGGGTGTCCTTCGTTAAAAATAATATACGGGAATGAACCTAAGGAAACAAAGAACTCTGGAAACTACCAATTTTTTAACAGTTGACGTGTCTTGAGGAAGAAATCGACTCTGGAGAGAATAATTTGGAGGTAAACATTGTCGGTTCTTGCATTTTAATCACTTCTTTACATATTCTTCAGATTTCTCAGCAATTAGTGGATGGATTGCTACTATTTTAGGTAACTTTGCTCTGTAGTCTTGTTTGAATCAGCATGTCGATTATTGAAAGGATTCCTTATGTTTTTACTGGATACATCTGACAATCATTTTCTACAAATTTCAGGAAGCATCAAAAACGACCTCCCTTATACTCTTATAACCAGTACACACTCTTCGGAGGGCTTGCCCGACCCTCCAGACAAGCCCCTGCGCCTCTATATTGTGTACTAACTACACAGGTGGTGTGAATAGCTACAATAAGGAAATGATTATTAGCAACTGATGAATTGTCCGCATGTGCAGCATGTGCATTGCTCAGCCTATAGCCACCCAATCAATTTGCAGGGTATGAGGGCGTAAACAAATACGGACAGATGGTTTGTTAGAGTCACGCATGCGCAACGCAAGACTTTGAATAGTTAAAATGGCAGTAATCTCATTTCAATTGAACATCATCAAATCTCAACTACGTCTACATTTTTTCAGTTACGCTATTCAAAATTAATGATAATATTCAGAAAATGAACATCCTGAGATCGATTCTAATGGCAAATGATTCCAGTTTATGGTATTATTATATTAAAGGCAGAATCAGATCTATGGGGGTGATAAAATTACAAGCAACATGAACAATTGACCTACCAATCTATTCCTTAGAAGCTCAAATACAATATCTCACAAAAGACTCACGATATGTTATAAATTGGTGAAGTTATAATGGATTCAAAGTGCAAAAATGGGTGAAAAATGTTTAAATTCTCCCAAATAATAAGAATGGTACCCATTCTAATAGAAAAATAATACATTATTGTAAAAATCTCGAGATTTCCTGAAATAAAGTGCGCACTTAAGGTATTTTTAGAAAATATTCATGAAAAGGAATGACATAAGCCAGAAATATTCTAAAATTGGAACAATTTTTTGTTAGCCTGCTCGCTAGATCTGATTCTCTCTTTAAGCTTAAGAAAATATCCTCCTACTATTCTCACTGCCAAAATATTTCTTTTTGTTAGTCATTCCAAGGCTCCGTCGTTCTAGGTATTACATGCGACAATGTAATAGGAAGTGATATCCGTCCCAGACTTTTGTTTGGAAATATTCTTATCAATGTGATTCCGAAAAAAAACGGGACTAAATCGGAGGAAAATTGGAGATAAATGTTTTATAACAGCAACATGTTCAAGTAACAATAGTTTTTAAGCCACTTGTAGATCTAATTTGTTCCTAAAAGTTGTCACAATGTATTGTTTTTTTGAAGGAACTTTATAACAACTTCACGGTCTCTTAAAAAGTGTAGCTTAACCTCACCAAAGAATAGCTAAAATGCGCCATGTTTTTAAAAGCTATTAGCGAATTGTAGCGATTAGACTCCCATATATCACGTTATGTTCTTCTTATATTAATGTTCATGTGAATAATGGATATTTTAGAATCCAGTATTTATGTAATCCCTCGATAAGACGTTTATTATGTTCCTTATTAAGCCCAAATACTTGTTTCCAAACGATATAATTCAAACTGTATCCCCTGGCTTGTATGTTCTGAGATTTATGACATTGAACAATATAAAACTCTCTTGTGTCATGCAAGTTTGTCTTATTTATGCCTCACAGTTTTAGTTTTGAATGACTAGTAGGTTGAAATCCGGCTCAACTTAACTTTCCCAAGTCCGTATGGATATATTGAATGAAAATGAATAAAGAAAACGAATGAACGAGGAATTTGGTTCTTAATTAGGTAGAGTGAATTAATGCTCGAATGATTGGCCTAACATACTTGATCAACTTCTGTACTGCTAAGGGACTCAGTTTTTTCCGTTTTCTTATCCAGGTCATGATGCCCGGTCTTGATTGATGCCATTTAGTGTAATGTGGTTC